CAGTGTGGACAGCAGGGCAGCTCCACGCAGACAGGGATGGGTGTAGAGAAACTCTCTATTTTCCACTCAACTTTGCTGTGAACCTAAAACTACTCTAAAAAAATTTTTCATTAATTGAAAGAATCTTTTGATTGAATTGTCAGAAACACAAATCTTTTTAATTTGTATTTTGCCAAATTAAAAAGAATTCGTTTTTGAATCATGACACAACTAATTAACTTCTGGGAGACATAATTTGACATGAGAATTCATGGTCTCTTTTTACATTTATCTTTAAACCACATATGATTCAATAAAGTACTTATTATGGATTCCACTGCCACTCACTCTGACGAGTACTATTGAGAAATATTAATCTTAAAATACACAGCTCGGAGATACGGGGTCATCTTTATTCATGACATTATGTTCCCAGCGCCGTCTAGATGTCACTTACAGGATTTATCTGCCTGTACTCGGGCCACATTTGCACCCCTGTCCCCTTCCCAGGCACTGAGGGCTCCCCGTCATGCACAAGACTGGCAAGGTTCACAGAACCATCCCGAATTGCTTTGGATCTTACTTTGGTTAGGTAGTCGTGGAACCATTTGTATGTTATTCCCAACACAGATAATAGTAGTCTCTCCCGTCTTAGCTATTAAAACAAGAAATTTTACCCTCAGGAGATTGGGGAACAAGATGACCATCTTCTATTCTGAAGGGACAGAGAATACAGCTCATTTCTGGCCAGGTCTAGGTTCAAAGGGCATTTCACCGACACTGAAGCTGCTCCTGCAGGTGGTCCTCAACAGCACAGGTTTTCAAAAGGAAGGGTCATCAAGAATTTTTGTTTTGTTTTTATTTTTCTTCTTCCTACTTTGTTCTTAATGAGCACATGTTATGGATGTAATAAAACATTCTTAAAGAGTCAGAACCTTCGTTTGTTTGGAAAGCTTTGAAGAGAGAGCTTTAACTCAGGAATTCTTAACTGTTACTTCCCTTGGGTGGCCTGGGGAGTCCTCAGAGAAACACTGCTGGCTTAAATGGAGTGTCAGTCTGAGCCAGACCTTGGCTCGAGTTGGAGGCAATGAATGGATGGATGGATGGACGGACGGATGGATGGATAGACACACAGATAAACGGAGGAAAGGAAGCCAGTAAAAGACTTTCAAGAGGCTCATGAAAATTTTGTCGAATGCCTCATTACTAGAAATGCCCTTCCAGAGGGCCAAGCCTATCTTTCTTGTCACCTGAGCATTTCAACTAGAACATGTTAACACTAAGCATCTCCCCTTCCTGAGGCAGGTTTAATCTGCAGACCCTGACAGGTGACATTGCTCACAGTGTGGTCCCTGACCCTTGGGGGCTGCAAGGGACTCTGGGCCAAGCATCTTCAAAGACCTGTCAGAAGTTGACGGCTTAAGTACATCAGGATGACCTGGCCCTGGCATTTGGCGGAGTCCCGGGGGCATATGGGGGTGAGGACAGGAATTCAGAACCAGGAAGTCACTTGCAGCCTGTGGGAGAGCCTTTCAATTAAAGCTTTTAACATTTTTCCAAAAGCAGCCCCCAGGGACTCAGCCTTTCTCATCTCCACATTGATGGATGACCAGTTGTCACAGAGGAGGAGATGCCCAGCGGCTGCACACACCAGCAAGGCCCAGAGGCTCCTCCCCCTACCCCCAGGAAGCTCTGGAGGCCCACAGGGACCCCAGGAGCTCTGGGCAAAGTCGACTGCTAAGGAAATGCAAAAATGCTGTTTTCAGCAGAAATTGTCCCATTGTTTACTTGCCTTGTCTTTGAGTCACTGGAGACAGAAACAGCCCTGTTCTGGGGTCTCTTTACAGACAGATGGGGCTGCAACGTGGTGCCCAGAGGCAGAACTGGCCCAGACCAGTCCCCTGGCTCCTCCAAGACCCCCTTCCCAGGTCTCTGCAACGGAGTGACAGTGTCCGACCTGGAACTTCCATTCTGACTCCAAAGGGGGGCCTGGTCTGTGCACATGAACGTCTGGTATGCGCATCTATCACCTTCACACAGGAATCCTAACTTTGGTGTACATGAATCTGTGAACTAGCATTTAAAATGAAAAGTGGCATCTAATGAGTTCAGATTTCTGTTTCTCTTGAAAACAAACCTGGCATCCCTGGGCTGAGTCCAGAAGGCAGCTGCCCTTGGAGCGGGGCCCGGCCCCTGCCCCACTGTTCCCTGGCCCCCCTCACCTGTGTCACATCTCCTCAGCGCTCGTGTCCCCCTGCACCTAATACGCACCTCCATCTCACGATCAGAGCTCTTCAGGAAAGCAGAGGCACCAGTTCAGATCCACGGGCTGCACGGCTGGGGAGTCATGGCCGGGCCTCCGCTGTCCCTGGCCCTGGAGAGCTGACTTGGAAGAAGGAGACTCCTGGAAGCCAGGTGGGGTCTCTGTTAGGTCGGTGGCGGCAACTTGGTGGTGACTTAGTGGCAACTTAGAACAAAGCAGCCTGCACTGGAAAAGAACATCAATCAGATGCCGGCAGAAACGCCTGTCAATCAGCCAGATCTCCTGACTAATGCCTGTCAATCAGCAGGACCCCCTGGCCAATCCTGGAGTTCAGCCAACTCCCCTGACCAACTTCAAGGGGGCAAGGGACCCTAGAAACACCTTTTCCTGTCCCCAGCCCTTCCCTTCCTGCTGTAAGCCCCATAAAAGTCAAGTCCGGTCGAGCTTCCACGCAGTTTCTCCTTAGACCCTTCCCCTGTCCCCTCTGTGGGTCTGATCGAGTTCTGCCCAGGGGTGATATCTCAAAAAGCCTGTTCAGCGGCCCTTTTAAATCTGCCTCCTTTGGCCATTGCCTGCCCCGACTGATCTGACAGTCTCAGCAGTGAATTTGTTTGGCATGGCCCCCGCCGTGGAGGCCCTGCTTCTCTCTGAGTGGCCGAGTAGCCAGCTGAGCACTGCAGTGCTGGGGAGGTCACCAGGCCCTGGTCCCTCTCTTCAGCTGTCAGTGCTCCTCCATGGGGCCCTCTGTCTCCAGGGAGCACGCTGTCCATTCTGAGGCTTTCCCCTGTGACCATGATGGCTGGGGAAGGGCACACGGCTCACCCTTGGTGACTTGCAGCAGGTTGGCAGATTCCCAGCGTGGGGAAAACTCCCCTCGATGGTGGATTTGCTGCATTGCCCCTTTACTTTGAACACCATACCAGATATGAGTTTGTTATTATTATTATATTATATTATCAGATTATTTAGAATCATCACACACTTATTTATCAAAAAATATATTTATATGATATTTACAGTTATGTTATATTTATATTAATAATTATCTTCACTTAGGACCCAACTCTGTTATATATACAAATTGTTTTCAAATAGTTTTAATAGCCCTTGACTTCTCCATGGGTTCAGCCATGTTCTGAAAAAAGAGCAAACATCCTTTGTTCAGAAATTTGTCAGGAGTTGGTTTCCATTTCAGAAGCCACCTGAAGGCAGCATCATCCAATGCACTGGGGTGACAGTCCCACCAGCTGCGTCCATCTGTGTGGATGCTTCATCCAGGATTCTTCCTTCCTTCCTTTCTTTCTTTCTTTCATCTATAATTGTAAAAGCCTGATTAATTCTGTATATATAATTTAGAGGAAACAAAAAAAGGTATGTTCCAATGGAAAACCATGAGTTGCCTCCAGCACACCTGGGGTTAGGAGTGCGCTTGGACCCCGTTGAGTGTAGATCACAGAGAGCAACACAAAGTAACTTTGTCTGTCTGCTGTGCAAATCTGAATGTCTGGTACGCGCATCTATCACCTGCACACACGAATCGCAACTTCGGTGTACACGAATCTGTGAACTAGCACTCCGCGGAAAGGGCTGGGCCGATTTGTCTCCTCGCTGTTGAAGAAGTGAATTTTGTCCCCAGCTGAGCATTCATTTTTTACATTCTTGGTCTATCCATGGCCCACCCTGTGGCCTCTCTCTAGAGCAGGTCAGAACACTAGCCTGGTTCTCATCATGACTTAATTAAAATATACAACATATGCTCACTTTTATATCTGGGTAAGAGTTGTGCTTTCATCTTAAACTGTTTTAACAGTAGTCTTATCTGGGTATTTGGAAATTGAGATGCATATCTTACTAAGAATTACTTGCCTTTATTGTTCTATTAGAAGAGGATATTTATTTCAGGGTGGTCATACATAAATTTCATTTCAGGATAGTGAAAGGGTGTCCAAATATTTGTCATGAAAGGGAACAGGAGGCCTGGTGGGTTTGGAATTACAGATTCCAACAGAAATTCTCTGAACAAACCCACATATGTAACTGATGAGCTGCTCATTCTTTTTCCCAGTCAAAAAGAAAGTTCCAGAGTTCCGAGCTGTTCAGAGAACCCGCAAGGCTGTGGACTGTTCTGGAAGCTGTGCCCCCTTCTCTCAGCTCCAGCACAGTTCAGATAGATGGTTATATAATAGCTATTTATGAGAACCACTGACTCAAACTTCTGTTTTCAATATCTTCCCCCAGATCATCAAGCCTATTCCAGACAAATCTCATTGTCCAGTCATCTAGGGTAAGGTCCAAAAAGAGTAACAAAAACCCTTTCCCCTGATTCCCACCCTGGATCCCATGTCGTAGCTGAGGAGGGGCCACCCAGCAGTGCAGTCCCTCTACAGCCTCTCAGGACTCCCATCCCCACTTCCAGCCCAGGCAGGTCTCAGGACCAACTATAGAACACCTGTACATGAGGCCACATTCAAGTTCCAAAGGGACGGGGCTTCAGGCTGAAATTTCTTTAAGCTCAGAAAGAAGCAATGAGCCAGGTCACCCATCTGGACACTCCCACCCTGGCTGCTGGCTGCTGGCTGGGAACGCCCTCAGTGGACAGTGATGAGTGAAGGAGAAGAAAGATCCACTTCTGGTTGTGTTCTACCAAAATATCCTTGTTTCAGGATATCACTTTCCTTTTATTTATTACACACATCTACCCTCCAAAAATGTACAGGAAAGCCTGGAAAATAAAAATAAACTTTAGAAAATTCATAAGCCAGGCTCATAGATTGCTTTATTTGGAGGATGATTCTCACACATTTTTTTCCTCCACCCACCAAAAGGAACATGCAGAGAAAATGAAACGTAGCCTGGCAGGAAATCATCGATAGGGTCCATTTAAACTGTAGGCAGAAGAGCAAATCTCCACATGGCTATCAGGAAGCTCCTTCTTCTTCTTCTTCTTCTTCTTCTTCTTCTTCTTCTTCTTCTTCTGGAGAGAGAGAGAGAGAATTTTAATATTTATTTTTTAGTTATCGGCGGACACAACATCTTTGTTTGTATGTGGTGCTGAGGATCGAACCTGGGCCGCACGCATGCCAGGTGAGCGCGCTACCTCTTGAGCCACATCCCCAGACCTCGTTCTTCTTTCTAAGCCCATTGATGACCAAATAGCCAAGAGTGCCTCTCTGAAGGAACCAGAGAAAGAAGTCCCAGTAACTGTCCCCACCCTGTTGATACACTTGGGCATTCATTTTTGGGGTCACTTAATGTAAGAGCAAGGCTTCTTGGCTTCATGCTCTAGCTCTCTGGCTCTCAAGCTCTGTGACTATGGATGAGATATGGAAGTTCCATAAGCCTCAGTTTCCTCATCTGTAAAATAAGGAAAACATACAGTGCTAGATAAGATCACACGTTATATACATGGTTGAGATATCAGATACTCCAGAAGATGTTGAGCACCGTGTCTGGTGTACACACTGTAAACATTTCAGACTTGATTTTCTGAGACCACACGTTGGTGGGGCGGTCAGTACTACTAGGAGGGTGACACTGTAGACATGATGACTCTCAAAGAGCAGCCACTCCAAAGAGAAGACAGGAGGCCAGACCTTGAAAATGGCAGGCCGCCTGCTCTTGGGAATGAATGACTGGCCTCCTCAGGGCTTTCCTTTTTATGTCCCGGAGTCCTCCCCAAGGCTGTACTTCCCCTGATTCTGGGGTTAGGTGTGTGTGTGTGGCAAAGAAGGTTTAAATGCCTGAATGAGATCTGATTCCTGGTTGCGGGTGATTTATCTGTGGCCACAGAGTTTCAAACATCAGAGAGCAACCATGTCCGAAGGGTTAGTTGAGTCTAGAGGTTAACTTCCCAATAAATAAAATTTGCTCAAGTCACACAGAGAATTTGTGCCCTTTTGGAGGGGACTAAACGGAAGCTGCAAATTCCTGAGTACAGTGTGATACCGGTTTGGGGTTGAGTTTTTTTTTTTTTAAAGAGGACAAAAACAATTTTGCAGGCATATGTGTAGATGGAGATTCATCAAAACTGGTGAAGATGGGGCAGAGATTAGAGTAGATGGTTCTGCTTTTAAATCATGTTGCTTTATAAACAGTTAATAAGCAGCATACGTTACTTCTGTAATACGGAGAGAGGGAGAAATATGGGAAGGAGAGGAAAAGTGGAAAAGGAAAAGAGAAACAAATTACTTCTTGTTTATTCTCCCTTTTGTTTCCTCCCTATGATCTTTGTCAGCTTGAAAAGTTTGAATCCATGTGTTCGAGAGAGAGGAACCGCCCCCCACACACACACACAATAAAATTATAGGAACACCAGTGGCCATGAAGGACGTATCCACAGAGGCAGCTAGACTGCATGTTCACTGTTGGCCCAGATTTATTTCAATTAACACTGCTCTTCAAACCGGGCCTAGAGCAAATACTGTCTTCCAAATCATAAAAAAAAAGGTGAAATTATTCTCAGCATAGTTTTGTTATAAATATCTTTGAGTTTAGTGATTTGAAATGTGGCAATCTCTGAAAGACATATCAGAGGGACATATTAAAGAAGTCCAGAAGACAGGTTCAGTGGTGCACGCCTGTAATCCCAGCAACAGGAGGCAGAGGCAGGAGGATCTCAAGTTCAAGGCCAGCCTCAGCAACTTAGTGAGGCTCTAAGCAACTTAGAATAAAAGAAGGTTTAAATGCCCAAATGAGATCTGTCTCCTGGTCAGGGGTGATATTATCTGTCTCAGAATAAAAGTTAGAAATGGTTGGGTATATAGCTCAGTGGTACAACACCCCTGGGTTCAATCCCTACTACAAAAAAAAATCATAAATAAGTTGGGGGGAAAATACCATTATAAATAAGTTGATCGTTCTGCCTGAAATGACCCCACCCTTCCCATCTCATCCAGGTAAAAGCCTTTCAATAGTGTCAACTGAATTCCTTGCTATAGAGTTCAAGAGTCACAAGTTTGTATTCTGACTCTGATAAATGCTGTATTACCTCCAGCAAGCTGATTAACTTCTCTAAGCCCAGTTTCCTAATCCTTAAAATGAAGAGGAATTAAAATCAGAGCAATCATGCAAGAAAAAGAAAGAGAAGCCATCCAAATTGGAAAGGAAGAAGTAAAATCATCTCCATCCCTAGACAACATGATCTTATCTGCACAAATACCAAAGATTCCACACACATACACACAAAGAGGTATTAGAGCTAGTAAACTCACCCAGCCAAGTTACAAAATGGAAAAAAAAAATCAGTACACAAAAATCAGCCTGCATTTCTATGTACTAAAAGTAAACAACCTGAAAAGGAAGTTAACAATATTCCACTTACAGTAGTGTCAAAATAAATAAATAAATACTTAGGCATGAATTTAACCACGAAGGTGAAAGACTTGTATACTTAAAACTGCAAAACAGTGCTGAAATAAATTAAAACAGACACAAGTAAATGGGAAAACACCTTATGTTGCATTGATGAATGGGAAGACTCAATATTGTTGAGAGGTCATATTATCCAAAGCAATCTATGCCTGCAATGCAATCTCTATCAAAATCCCAATGACATTTTTTTTTGCAGAAATAGAAAAATTTGTCCCAAAATTTATATAGAATCTCAAGAGAACCTGAAGAATCAGGTTGATTTCAAAACATTGCAAAGCTATAGTCATCAAAATAGTGTGGTGTTGCCATAAGAAAGAAAATAGACCACACTGCAGAACAGAGAGGTCAGAAATAAACCCTCACATATGATCCAATGAAATTCAACCAGGTGTGAAGACCCCTCACCAGGGAAAGGACAATCCCTTTGACAAATGATGCTCAGAAAACTGTGTATGCATATGCCACAAGAAGTGGGACCCTTGGCTCACAACATAGCAAAAAAAAATAACTTAAAATGGATTAAAAACTTAAATGCAAGGCCTAAAGCTATACAATTCCCAGAAGAGAATGTTGGACTTTGCAGTGATCTCACGTATATAACAGCAAGAGAACAGGCAAGAAAAACAAAAGTAGGCAGATGGAACTACATCCAATGGAAACAAGGATTGTACAACAGAAGACACAACTCCCACAGGGCAAGGGCAGCATGCAGAAGGGGAGAAGGCACTTGCAAATCACGTATCTGGTGAGGAATTAGCATCCACAGTATTTTAAAAGCTAATATAACCCAACAACAAAAATCAAATAACAATATTAGAAGATGTGCAATGGTCTTGAAAGGGCATTTCTCCAAATATGGTTATAAATGGCCAACATATGAAAACAGTTCCAGTATCTCATATCATCAGAGAAATACAAACCAAAACCACATTGAGGGGTCACATCATACCCATTAGGATAGCTACTATTTAAAAAAAAAAAGAAAATATGAGCATGTGGAGAAATTGGAACCCTTGGGCACTGTTGGTGGGATGTACAATTTGCAACTACCATGGAAAACAACAGGGGTTATTAAAAATTACAAACAGCACTATCATCTGACGGTGGTGTGAACAGCACTCCATTTCCTGCCTATGTAGAGGAGCATCTGACTGTGGTGTGAATAGCACATTGTTTCCTGCCTATGCAGAGGAGCATTTGACTGTGGTGTTGTTGTAGGGACAAACGAGGCAAGGCACCAAAGATAGCAGAAAACAGTTTTATTTGGTTGCAGCCAGGTTCAGAGGGCACAGCTTTTGCTGTGATCAATTAATCCCCTCAACCCCGAGTTCAGGGAGTTTCAGAGTTTTATACCCACCATGTAAGGGGAGGGGCTCAGAAGTTCACAGTCTGAAGAAGTTCACATAAAAGCAGCTTTTCCTTTCACTGTTCTGGGCAAGTTAACTCTTCAAGGACAACACCTGAGAAGGGGAGAGCTTCTTCCCTTTCTTTCCTCCCCCTGCCAGCTGTTACCATGGAGCCCATTTGTAACTTATCTTAAAAATGTAGACATCTCTGTGAAGCCCAGCTCAAGGCCAGAGGCCTTATTTGCACATTTCTTTAAAGTACTATACTGGATACGTTTTTGAAAAACTAGTAAGGGGGTGTCCAGCACCTGGAGTGCTGGTATCTTCCCGGCCAGTGGCCAAGTAAAACAGGGTGACACGAAAATAGGAAGTTTATCTACAATGGACTCTTTCGCAGAGACTCTTTTGCTGACAGTCCTAAAATCAGCCATGGTGAAGAGGGCTTTTCTGTGGAGAAAGGGGGTGCCACTTCAGTGTGAACAGCACCACGGTTTCCTGACTATGCAGAGAAGTATCTGACTGGTGTGAACAGCTCACTGTTTCCTGCCTATGCAGAGGAACAACATGAGGCTTGGAAAGCTCACTTCCCTCAGGTGCTGTGGGCTCTGAAGGACAAGGCCCAGCTTCCTGCCCATCTGTCTGTCCAGCCCCAATTCCAAACAGGGGCCTCCACAGTGGTGTGCAGCCACTGCAAGAGGTGACATGGGGAGGCACCAGATAAAAGGGAAAGGAGTGGACTTCTTCTGCTCCTACCCTTGGCGAGGACCCCACCCGCTCTTGCTGGAGCTGAGGGTGGAGAAGTACCAGAGGCCTCGCTGCTGCTGCTGCCCAAACCAGGACCACAGACGGCTGGTTATAAGCAGCATCGATTCACTGCCCACAGTGATAGAAGCTGGGAGCTTCAAGATCAAGGCAGTGGCTGACTCGGCGCCTGGTGAAGCCGTCTCTGATCCCAAGAGGATACCTGGACCGCTTGTCCCCTGGACAGTGACTGCTGCATCTTCACAACACAAGAAGGGCCTGGCTCCTTCCCTCCTGCCTTGTGCAAGACGCGATGGCACCCACCAGGGCGGAGACCCCTGGCCCAGCGCCCTCCTACACACTCCACCTCCGACCCGCTCCAGGGGTCTTCTGAGGGCTCTGGGTCCCTCTGCAGAGCAGCCCGATGAACCCCCGCGCAGGGACCAGAAGCCCCATCCCTGGCGCCAGGCTGAGCTGCGATTGGGCGTCTGGAGCAGAGCTCTCCAAATGC